ATTAGCACCTCACGTTTTGTTCAAATTATTAGAACACTGAATTTTTGCATCATTAAAAAAAATTTTGAAAACTATTTTATGTCTCTAACTTTTTATTAGAAAATATTCCTTTTCCGTTAATGAAATGTAGAGAATTTTTTGTAATAATTTTATCAGAACACTTTTCTAATAATTAAACTTAACTTTTTACCTTAGGAAAAAATTAATTTGGGAATGTAGAGACTGTTCTTAGAAATTTGTTTTAGATAAAAACATGGTAAATGTTCCACCTCATAACTTCAAACGAGCTAAATTTTTTCAAAACAGAATGAGTTTAGAGCCTTTTAGTACGTTAAGGTAAACGACTACAAGATTTACAGTACTAAAAACACAGAGGTTGATATGTTCTACTTTTAAGATACCCAGCCTACCACAAAAGTACTCATCAGCGTAGACATTATTTGAAGTGGACAAGTTGTTTCACCTTGATGTTTTCTTTTGATTTAACTTCTTTGGCACCTTTTTCTTCTTAGGTTACAATACAGCTCTTGAACGCTGACATCTGGATATTTCATTCTCCTATTGATATTGATAATGATGTGCCTCTGGACCTCTTTAAATTTATTATTTGACAGAAGGGCCACGTACAATTTTCTTTGTTGGTAAATCGGACACGTATAAATTAGAAGCTTGAAAATGATTTTATTAATAATAATCCTCACTACAATTAGAAGTTTTAAAGATTTGGAATCCAAATCATTATCAAAAAGAAAAAAACCAAATGTATAATATTACTTCTTTCTCCAACAATATATGGTTTCTTTTTGGGACTAATCCAACAATATCAGATTAATGAAGTGATTAGAAGTAAGAAATATCTTGCAATTATATTACTGTGCTGAGTTTAATTTGAAGTATCAGCAAACTTCCAAATGGTGAATAATTACTAGTGACTTGTTGCAGGGCACCCAAGTACATGTTGAAACCATTGATGGGAACCCCCCCAAAGCCACCTTCAGTTCTCCATTGTGCACTCTCAAGTCCATTGGCTGTGAGGTCATTATTTACAATATCGCATGACAAATTGATTAATTCTTAATTTTCCTTTTATTTTTCCAAAAAAAACAAAATAAAAATAAAAATATCTTATAGTGCCTATAAAAAATCACGGGTTTAATTATCTGCAATTTCTTTCAGATGTCATGCAAGCCACCAGGTGAAGAAATTGCCCACGAATCAACCTTGGCAACACTCAACAAGCTCTCAACTTATTCATGGGAAGCCAAGGCAGTGTTGGCCCTTGCAGCATTTGCTTTGGAATATGGAGAGTTCTGGCTCCTTGCCCAAACTCAACGAAGCGACCTACTTGCCAAGTCCGTCGCAATCCTCAAGAGAGTGCCAGTCCTTCTCAAGCCCGCGGACCTCCAGAAGCGCAGGCAAGCTGTTGTCGAGCTCAACGTCCTGATCAAGACCACATTGCAAGTGATTGAGTGCATCTTTGAGCTTGAGAAGCTTTCTGCTTATGATCCAAAGGATGTGCCAGCATTGGCAATTGCAATGGATCACATACCGGTCAATGTCTATTGGTCTATCATAACTATTTTTTCTTGTGCAACTAAGATCACCCTTCTAACCAGTGATGAGTAAGTTCTTTATTTCCAAGCCAATTACCATGTAAGTATATATTTATTATCAATACAATTTTAAAACAAGTAATATTTATCTGAGTTGGTTTCCTGCGTTGTAGAGAGAAGCCATATGATTTGTCTCAATTTGCTCAAAAAATGCACTACATCCTCAACAAGCTTAAGATACAATTGTTAAGCTGCAAAAAACAGATAGGTGAGTACTTGCACTGTTGTACACGTACATGTTACACTTGATATGCATTGCTGAAAACTAAGTGTTTTCTGTGTAAAACAGAGGAGGCGGAGACCTACCGGAAGCTGAGGAAACTTTTTCAGACCCCTGCCGAAGTTATGGAGGTTTTCAAGGCCTTGATTTTCACTAAGGATACCGTGCAGCCAATTATTGATGGTTCGACTGGCAAAACGGTTTGCTCTCATAGCACGTTACTACTTTTTGATAAATTTCACTATTACCGTTTGTAGTGTATGTAGCTAATTAATGTAATCATTGTCCGTAATTTTTCAAACAGGTTAGCATTGAAGTGCTGAGGAGGAGGTATGTGCTTTTGTTCATTTCCACCCTTGACATTTCTGATGATGACATTTCGGTTATCAAACCAGTTTATGAGGGGACAAAGAAAGACGATAAGTATAAGATTGTGTGGATCCCTATTGTGGAGCAATGGACTGATGACCTACGAAAGAAGTTCGAGGTCTTGTGGGCCAAGATGCCATGGTACACTGTGCAGTATTTTGCGCCTGTAGCCGGCATCAGATTCATCAAGGAGGAGTGGCACTTCAAGGGCAAGCCAGCTGTGGTAGTGATGAACCCGCAAGGCAAGGTGGAAAATACGAATGCTCTCCACTTGATTCGGATTCATGGAATGAAGGCATTTCCTTTTCATAAGGGAATTGAAGATACTCTCACAAATGACAAAGAATGGATCACTCCCATTGTGAATGATATTCACCCAACCATACAGACCTGGGTAATGAATCCAATTCACTTTTCACAATTCCACAGCATTACAGCACCAATTTTAATTCAAATTTGTGGGTATAATTTTTATTTCTTCGTTCGAACAGATCAAAGAGGAGAAGTACATCTTCTTCTATGGAGGCAAAGACAATGACTGGATCGAGCAGATCACAAAGAAAGCAACTACCATTGCTAATGACCCCTTCATCAAGGAATTGAAGATCAATATTGAGCTATTTTGTGTTGGCAAGAGCCCTGAAGGCGAAGATGACCTTGGAATTCTCGGGAGATTTTGGAATGGAATTGAGAGCTTGTTCTTCACCAAAGTCAATAAGCAAACTGACACTGTGACCAAAGAAGTCCAGAAGCTGCTTTCCTACAAAAATGAGGTTGGATGGGCTGTGCTTACTAAAGGGTCCACTGTGGTGGCGAGTGGCCATGGCTTCACAATCTTGAAGGTCCTCAACGACTTCGACAAATGGAAGAACTCCATAAAGGAGAAGGGCTTTGAATTCTCGTTCAAAGCATACTACGAGGAGGTGATTCAGACTATGAGGCCCTGCTGCCGCCTTGACATCCCGAGCGTTGCTGGAAAGGTCCCGGAGACCATGAACTGCCCAGAGTGTCCTCGCACCATGGAGACATTCGTGAGCTACAAGTGCTGCCACACTGATTCTCCCATGAACGCGCATCATTGAAGGGTTTGCTGTTTTGAGTCTATGAGGTCATCTTATGACTATAGTATGAAGTTATGAACTTATGCGTTGTGTTTGTGTGGTACGTAGTGTCGTCCTTGGGACTTGAGTAATGGGTATTTTCATTATTATGTAATCTGATGATGCCTACCAATCTGAGTGGTGAGTGGTGAGTGTTGTGTGATGTGTACGTATGTCTTATGATGCAATGTTATGTTTTAAGTTTTATGTTTCGGTAGCACTTTTCGCCCTCGATATCATGCATATTTCTTTGAATTTATTATATTGACATGATCAATCAACCTGGTAAATCCAAGCATGATTTTATTTGGTGGTTTTCATTTTTTAGAGACGAATGTAAATATAACATAGAATTGGGTTCTATTATTTAGCAAAATGGGTGCAATCCTTACTTACAGGGAACAACTGAAAAAGGTCATAAGACCGACGATCAGTCCTCCTAATTAAGAATAAAACTCATCTAACCCAATAGCAATTAGCCAAGATTGAGCAACCTTCTTATGCGTGAGCCTTGAGCCATATTTAATTGATCATCACCTCTTTAATACAAGTAGAGTATCTCGGACATAAATGGGGAAGAAAAGACAAATAAAAAATGTTGTTGAATTTTATTTTAATCAAACGATTGTAAGAGGTAGTCTTTAACTTGGAGTCGTGTAGGAAAGTGTTTGACCTTATCTGCAACTCTAGAGAGACATTAGTTACTTGCTTGGGCACCCTACGGCTGAGCTGTGGCGGGGTAGTCGACCACCCCCTCTGAGAGGGGAGTGGTGGTCTGCTGATGGCCCTAGTGTTATACTAAGGTCCTTGGTTGATAAATTGGTCGTTGACCTTGATTGTTGTGAGCTTTATGTTATTTTTTGTTGGGCTAATCTACTCTGCCTATTAAGTTTAGATAATGATATGCTCATGCTATCAAGCTAGTTTTGTCAGTCCAATGTTACGATCTACATGACACGATCTGATTAGACGTGGTTATTTATGCTTCCACTTATATCACTGGAGATGTTTTAATACTTTGAGGCCATGTCGTCAATTGTGAAGTACTAGTACACAAACCTAACCCAACTTCTTTAGTGGTTAACGTTTCAGATAAGAAGTTTTGATCCATGTAAAACACGAGACTTTCAATTGTAATTCCTATTGGTGCACAATGGATATATCACGGATAATGTTAGGAATGCCAAATTTTTAAATCAAATTTGTAAACTAAATAACATGTCATCAGTAAGAAATAAGCACATTAGTCAGCACTTAATTACTAATCTAGTCATCCACAACCACATCATTCAGTTTGCAAAGCTGGTTTAAAAAATTTGATCTTCCTAGAATTACCGATATATCACTGCGAATATGATAAAGGCTTGGCAGTAAATTGGCAATATAAACATCGAATTATTGCTTTTTAATTTGTGTCCTTTGATATTCTTCGATTCATTCAATCCAACGACTGAAAATTGAGGTGTATGAAAAATAAAAAAGTGTGGATAGCACACCCCAAAACAAAATTTTAACAAAAAATAAAGACACCCAATGAACATTTTCAACCATATGAACCAAAAAATTAAGGCACAGGCCATGTCTCTTGGGTCTTGTCCACATGACTTTCGTCCGTTTAAAATACTCAACCAAATGTTTTTGTCATTTTCAATGATTGATTTTATCCTTAGAGTTAAGAATCAATAGGTGTTGGATAAATTAAAATCCAATGAAGCCATTTTTTATTAATTTTCTGATAAGGTTTGATCATTTGACCAACATCAACAGCAACAACAATAAAGTCTTATCCCATTAAGGGAGATTAACTTTATGAATCTTAAAACATCATTGTGCTCGGTTTTATGCTTGTCTTTTGTTAGATTCAACTGATCCAAATCTTTTCTTGAAGTCTCTTTCCAAGTCTTCGATCATATGACCAAACAACAAAAAAAGTCCATGTTTGTTGAATGATCATGGAAAGCCTGCCTGAAAATACAGTGATGACCGAGGAGTTTTCTAACTAGTTATTACCGATGATGAGCAAGAGAAACACATGGAGATGGAGGATAGGGATGAGGGTGAAGGTAGTGAACGGACCAGCCTTTTCGTCAGGTTTCAATCATGAAGCTCATTTTTGCAGTTAATTACCTTGTTCCTGAGAGACGCCAGCTTTAATGTTCATGCTCTATTCATAGTCAAAAAATAAATGACAATATTATTGGGCAAGTTTTTTTTTTTCTCTTTGAGTAGAGTGATACCATTAGTGGGTTAAATAGTTAACTTAATTATTAAGGAGGAGGAAATTTGATAAGAATCGAACCCGTATTAAGTGCATTGACATGATTTCTTTCCGGCACTACGATAAATAACCCTTTGTAGTTGTCATTGCCTCCCTCCAACCGTAATATTATATTCCTTGTTCTTCTTTCATCTGTAGCAAGAGGGAAAAACTTGATTATATTCCTTGTTCTTCTTTATCATAAACGATATTACTATATATTATAAGCCATAATCTTAAGAGGAGTCCCGGGAAAAGTTAAACTCGAACTACATTGGATTGATGAGTGACACATTACCTTGATTTTTCTTGCGACTCCAGTGACATTTTATGTATATATACTCGAAAATTAGAAGAAAAATAAACATGATCTTATTTGTCAACAAACAGGAAAAAGAATACAAAGAAGCCCTGGAAAGCTTCAACAAAAAAAACAAAACAAAGAAAAGGCTCAATAGGCTAAAACACTCTTTTAATTGATTTAACAATAGGCTAATAGGATTAACTAAATCATTAGAGACCGTAACAATGAGAATGTCTAAAAATTAAAGTTCTTCTTGACTATTCTTGAACCCCAGGTGAACAAAAACATTTTCAAGAAATCTGTTCAGGAAAATATAGAAACCCATGAGGCAATTCAATCGTCTGGGATAACACACATTTACCTGGACTCCAACCTTAAGCCAACATTTTTCTGTTCTGTAGCATCCACCACACCGAACACATTTCTCGGTAGGGGAATATAACGCTTCTCCTTGTGAGACCTAATTTTCACTTGGAAGGTAACAGATACAAAACATTAATCAGTACACAGAACACCACAAATAACAGAATTGTCGAACACGTTATGCTCAAGGGAAATTATTGTAACAAAATTCAAACTGATAGCAATCGCGTCCGTGGATACCAATGATTTTTCTTTTAATTACTTGACAGGTCCAATCCCAACTTGTGTCATTTTCCTAAAGATGTTCCAATTTCTCAAAATCTTAAATCCAACTACATTTCTCAATCCCCAAATGGCCACATATGAGAAACCAAAACAAAGCCTTGAAGGGGGAAGAAGAAAGAAAAAAGAAAACAGAAGAAAGGTACAGTTCGGCTCCTACAGCAATGATTTACCTTTTGTTTTGGCAAAAGTTTCCATTTTGTTAGAGGTTTAGGCACTGGTAGCTGTAGAAAACAATAGAATATGTCATTGGCAGTCCGACATCATGCTTAAGAACACAATAGTAACAACTAAATCAGTTACAGAAAATACCATTTTAGTCAACCAATTTACATGATAGGAACCGTAAATTGGCAACACAAAAGATTAAAGCAGCAACGATTTCTGGAAGCTCCAAAAAGGGCCCACCAATGCAATTGTCACGTACAAAGATTGCCTTTACGATGGAAGTTCGATCGTGGAAGGTTAAAATTTGAAGGTAAGGATTACAATTAGAAGCTCACATTGAGAGAGAGCCTTCCATTGATAAATAACACGCAGGAATAGAGAAGGCACATCAAACCTCAAATTTCGCTAAAACCCGGGAAAAGACACATCAACTCAAGGTATTCCAACACATCCTTGGCAGGGTATGGATTTTCTTTGTCCTCTTCGTCATAACCTTACGTGCCAAAACAACCAAGCCCAACAAATTAACGAACTAATTTTTCTGATTCAATAATAGCATACATATTATCAAATAATCAATCAATAATTCACATATCATTAAGGGTTAAACAAATAGATGAAGACTGAAAAACACATTTAATATATCCTTGCATTTCTATTTGAATTCAGAGTACATGGAAATCACATCAACAAATCAAAGCCCTAAATTTTTATCATCCTGAACTGGAAAAATCTGTAAAATCTAAAATTTTTCGCCGCATCAAAATAATTACAAATTAAACCCCTATTCTCTTGGCTGATAATCAAAACCAAATTAGTAAATTACTCAGTTAAAAGCCTTTTTTCAATAAAAGCTCGGAAGGCAAGCCTAAGTCCCTAATAATCCAAAATCACGTCAAATGGAGGAAAGTGATGTATCAGAATCGAATACTCATATACGAATAGAAAATTTTATCCTTAATTTATCTAATTATAGAAATAAAAAAATTAAAAAAAATTAGATCAAGAAAACCAAGAGCCAGATACAATTTTGATGCAAAAAAGCAAAGTTAGAATACCAAGAGCTAGATTATGCTATTAAATCAAAGAAAACTAAGATGCAATGGAATATATACAAATCTAATCCAAGAATGCAAACCAAAACCCTTACTTTCTGAGAGAAATTGGGATAGAACATCGTAGAGAGAAAGCAAGAGGAGAGATATACCTAACTCTGGCTGGAATTGCTGGCGATGAATGTTTGAAGAGAAAAGCTTTACCTTTCACTTGCTTTTGATTCCTGTAGCCACAACATACACATCGCTTGTGACAGTTTCCAAAGGGAATTCCGAATTCAAAATTTAACAATCTAAACCATAATTTTTTTTTTTTTTTTTGAGAAGATAAACCATAATTAACTCACAATTTAGTTCCACCAAAATGATAGACATACCAAAATACCAAACTGTCAACAGACTAACAAAAGTAAATATGAACCCTCCCCAGAAATAGCCCAATGGTAGGAGTATGTAGTCCGACTATGCTGAACTAAAAAAGAAAAAAAATTCAAGTGATCGAAGCTAATCTAGAGTTTTCTCCGCTCCCAAATACAACAAGAATCAGAACATACGTCGTCAATTTCAAGAAATTCACAGAAAGAGAGAAAGAAAGGGATAAATGATAGGATTAAAAGCACACCACAAATCATCACACAAATGTCCTATTGATTTTCTTTATTAACACTAAGATTTGTCAATTGTAGCATATGAAAATAAGGGTCTTTCCCGCAAAAGATTGTTTTATCTATCTACTTAAAATGTCACAAAAACTGGGCTGCTGTCCCTACTGGCCAGCCACCGAAACATAATTATTAAACCGACTTACACTTATCTAAAGTCTACGAAATTTTATATGCAAACACTAGACACACAGAGCTACACTCACACAATTTTTGGAATTTTTGGAGTTGATTTGCTATTTAAATTAAATAGAACAAAAACAGATTTTTAAGTAGTTCACAAATTAAGAAAAACGAGTTAGGGGAATTATTATCCACCAGCAAATAATCATACAAATTAACATGTTATGTTTCATTCAAATTCCTTTTATTTCCGGATGAAGATGCTTAAGTTGGCTCAATGTTAGAACTCAACCTATTACTCTTTCTTATGTAGTATGTTAAGAGAATGATGTTTTCAACTTAACGTAGTCCCTCGCATGCAATCTAGAATAGCATGTTCATAGATTTAACAATTGGAAATCATTAAGAACGAAAAGAGTTTGAGTTATCACAAGGTATCGTAAGTACTGGCGTTGTCTTACTTATCCTAGAAATTGGTTCACATGTTAATCGCAATTAACAAGTACTACTCTAGAACATATGTAGGTCCTCATTTGACAAGGGCAGGCACACACATGTTCATAGCATTAGAATCCTAGATATGCTTACTAAGTATGCATCCGTAGAAAACACATAAAGAATTCATCAATGAGACAAGTAGTGAACCAATTTTCATCCATTCATAAAAGTAATTCAAACGAAATGTCATAACAAACTTGCAATCATATTGGGGGCTTCAAACAGCCCCTAACTACTAAAAATTTAGTTACACAATCCTTAAGTTAAAACAAAAGATAGACATGAGTTTGAGAAAATAGAACCGAAAGAAATCGCTTGAGGCTTTTTCTTTTTCCTTCACCAACACTACTTTTAAACCAATTCTTGCTGCATCATTTTCTTCTCCTTAACTCACCCACTAATAGACATTTAGTGATGACAATAATTGAGAGGAAATGGTAAAACAATTGTAACTCCTTGGGTAGCCATTATGCCAATTACTCCCACTTAATCCTCATCTTTAATTCCATTTCCTCTGATATTTGAATAGGTGTCAGCTGGTTTGTTCTTGATTGCATCAGTTTTGGCTGCTAGATTTATTGGATTTATTGCTTTCAATGCTTTCTTATTAGTTATAAACTGCTCAGCCTCTTGGGAACCTTTCAGTGTTAAAACGGCCATAACTTCTTCTAGAAAAATGATATTAACAATCCGCGAAATGCTCCAGAAAATAGACATCCGTAGCTTTCCAAGCACATAAGGCTCATTCTCTAATTCATTCTGAGCTGTCCGCAACTTGCTTCCAATGTCAGCTGACCTGCACAGGCAGTTTTGACGAATTTGTTACTTAAAATTTCACTTGTGCTATTTTTCTTTTCTTTACCTGACAAATCCTACAAAACAAAAAAACAAAGTAACTAGCTCAAAAATATAAGGAACTAAGTAAGAAAAGACAAGTGAATTTGATGTAAAATTTATATAAATATGAGCTTATCAATAAGAGTAGTCCAAACCTTAGATCGACTAGCCTCGATCCTCTAGATTCCCTCATTGTCGTAGCAAAAATCAACAAAAGCATATATGCAATGACATTTTATCAGCCACTGGTTGGACTGTGTTTATTACCTGCCATAAACGGAGAAACAGTTTGGTATAAGAATCTGATAAGAATCTCATTCCAGAAAACTTCTTCAGTCCAAGCCTAAACAACTGCAAGCAAAAAAATCCCCAAGATACATACTTTCATCCAAATCATCCACCGCCATTAACAAAACCACACCCTATATCTTCCTTCAACTAAGATTAAAAGAGTGAACTTATCACCCAAATACAATAGGTAGATTAACGAATATGAGTTAAAAAATGGAGGAAAGCAACAAAACCAATCAAACAACGAATTGTCAATAGAATAAAATAACAAATCTAGATATCTTAATCAAAGTTTTGTTTGTTTGTTTGTTTGTTTGTTTTTTTTTTTTTTTTTTTTTGTAAAATGACGACTTAAATGTCGCTCAACATTGTTTCTAATCACAACTCCCTCTCTACCCGTAAAGCATGGTTGTCTTAGCCAAACATACATTTTGATCACGCAGAATAGAGATGGAGATGTTGTCTTCTAACAACCGAAATGGAAGTTCAAAATATTATTGAATCATCAAATGTTGAAATTACCAATTCATAACACCATTAAGGAAAATGATATTTCTGAAATGTCATGAAAGCTCAAACAACCGCACTCAATAGACGTGTTCCCATTTAAGAGAACAAGATACGAAAATCATTTTCAGTGCAGACAATGAAGGATGGTTTGAGAGGAAAAGATTGGGAAGTTTAACTCTCTAGAGAATAGGTTTTTAGACTTAAGTTGAATTAAGATTGGGAAAATCATTTTGTTTTGTAACTGGATGACTCTGCGTAACCTTATCACGAATGGTATATGCTAATTTCCCATTTCCATGTCAGTAAAAGTTGAAATTGGTTGAATGTCAAAACTGTCGTAGTGTGATATTAAAAATTTGAAACTGACTTCAAACCTTAATTAATAGTATAAAATGTACTTATCCTGTTCATCTGAGTGCAAAATATACCTTGGGGCTGTATCGAGTTTAATGAATTTTGTTTGACTCTCAAATCTAAGTGTAGTCAATATAACTTTGAATAAAAACTTTTCAAGACTTCTAAAAAGTCTATAATAATATAGTGGTATTCAATTATGATTTCTTGTGAGTCTACAAAATTTCACATGTTTTAGAGGATTTTAAAAACTCATGGATTTTGAATGCTTTAATAGTAACTTTTTTGTCATAGCAAATCTAACATATCCCCTAAGATTTTATGGTGTGTTTACATAAGGGGAATACAACGAGGGGGATGGGAGTTGCACACAATCCAACCGATTCAAGTGTTTACCAACCCTTGGGGAATGAAAGCATCCGTGGGACCCACTTAAAATTGGAATCAGGTTACTGATTTTTCCGGAATTGGATTACCAAACAATGGGTAGTAATTCAACTCGGGAGAAAGCCTCAATCCGAAATAAACTTTTCTACCGCAAACTACCCTTCTCTCATTCTACCTCTATCTCTACTTCTCTTTGTCAAAGAAAGATTATACAAACTTCATGGCTTGTGGGATTGTGCAGGTTTCATGACCAAAATCAGAAGGGAAGAAAGGAGATTTTGGAGTTCAGTTGTGATCTTACATTGGTTGGCGACGACCAAAATCAATTCGATTTATCCACCGTGTCAAATCCCGGCCCGGGCCCCCACCACATCCCGGGCTCTAAACCGCCGTAACACAATATTATCCGCTTTGG